GAGGAGAGGCCTGGGAATGCCAGAACTCCAGCCTCATTACGGATGGAACTGAGGGAAGAACAGAGCTGGGGGGATTGATGGAGATGGAGCCCAGGGCCTGATCACACCAGGCCTAATAAAACTTACCCTACCTGTCTACTTTTGGGTAATGTCAGCCAATAAATTCCATGTGTTGTCTAAGTCAGTTAAAATCAAGTTTTTGTTACTTTAGAGTAGTATATCCTAATGAACAAAATAGTGCTGTTCTGCCTCTAAGAAGAAGTTTACAGAAAATCTTTGAGGAATAATTTCTGAAACTGTTTTATTTTCGGTATATCAAAAGTCACTGTCAAAAAAATTAATCATGGTCTCTAATAACATAGAGCAGGGAGCTGGGGAGGACAATTATGCTGGATGACTGAATCGGGATCTGAAAACATCAGAGAGGCGGGAACCCTTTTCCAATTCCACTGTGGGATTTAATAAGAAGGAGTAAAGGTCAGGGAAGATCTGCCTTTGCGGCACATGTAGGACAGATAAAAGTTACCCACCACTCTGATGTGACCTAAAGCCGCTAATGTCATTCTAGGCTGCATTCATTAGAATATCTCCTCTTCGCTTCTTAGGCCATTCCTTTGGCTCAGTGCTGGATTCCAGACCTTAAAGAGGTCTGGATAAACAGATACTCAGAGTAACTGAATAGGCTGGCAGAGATTTGAAACTCTATTTCTCATGTGAGGAACATTTGGAGGGACTGGAAGAGTTGGTTAATGCCATCAGTGATGACAACAGCAACAATAGTAAACGTTTAGTTTTGAGTACTTACTATGCCTGGGACTGTGCTAAGCAGTTACACTGCATATCGTTTAGTCTCCATGACAATCTGACATTGGGGGGTGTCAGATACTTTCCCAGCAGAAACTCCTATGTATCACCCCCTCATACACAGATGAGGAAACCCTGGCTTAGTTTAAGAAATTTATCCAACGGCACACGGTTATAAGTGGTAGAACTGTGAGGTTTAAACCATAGGAGGACTTTAAGTGGTGAATTCAACATCTCTGAGTAGTTGAAGGATTGTCAAGAGGGAGAAGGATAGAGATTTGTTCATGTGATTCCAATTAGTGAGCCAAGACCAATGAGTAGAAGTTACAGGGAGACAGATTTTTGTTGAGTATATAAGGCCATCTATTCTTCCTCTTCTATAGTGAAGGAGAGATTTTCTTGTCTTGGTGACTGTCTTTTCCATTCATTCTTCCTATGGGGCTTCATGGACTGCTGCTTGGAAACCCTGCTTGGCTTACTCAGGCCACACTGGACAGTTCTTCCTCAGTCCTCATCTTCCCTACATGTTAATCACGCCTTCTTCCCAACATGCTTGGACTGCATATCTTATTTATCTTGCTTCTGTGGACTCCTTTTTCCCTTTCTGTCCTTGACCCATGAGTATCTAGCAAGCCCTTTTCCCAAGTGTCTAGTCTTCAAGCCACTCTTCTCCTTGGACCACTGTGGTCTTTACAGAGCCCTTTTCCAGGTTTCCACATCTCCTTGGCAGATGCACCATTTTTCATCAGAAACTCAACATGGCGAAACCCAAACTGTCTTACTCCCTCACCTCTCCATTCCTGTTGATGGCAACCCTGCCTTCCTGTTGCTCCAGGTTTTCCTCTGACTGAAATCAACCACTAAATCCCATCAACCTTTGTTTTACATGGTCTCTTCAATCTGTTCCTTCTTTTCTAGTCCCACTGTCACCCTATGGAGATTAGTCCTTGTCACCTCTCTTCAAATCTCCCAAATGCTCTTGTCATTGCCTAACTCCAAATCCCATCGTCCTTGTATAAGAACTAATAACAGAGAGAAAAGAAAAGAACCAATGACAGTTTTCATTGCCCATCAGATTGGGTTCATTTACTTAACCCAAGGATTTGGGCAGCTGGTTCTGATACTTGTCCAGCAGAAACTCTCTTTGCTACCTTGGTGGCCCTGTGCACGTACCTGCTGCCCTGAGTGTCAGGCTTCTCACGCCCCTCTGGACCTTTGCTGATGGCGCTCCCCTTGGAGAATATTGTCACTTACTGGTTTGACTTTCCTTCTTTTCAGGCCCACTTTGTGGTCTGCTTCTTCCACTCACTAATCACTTCTTTCTCAGCATCCCTCTAATCCTTATAATATGCCGAATTTCACATTCTGGCACCTTATTAGTGATATTATTGGACTTTCCATTAAAAAATAGTTCCTTAGTTCCTTAAAGTAGGTTTTAGTTTTAAACTTCATCAAGGCAATGGCACGTGTGTTCTTTAGCTCACTAACACCCAGCAGCAGACTGCATAGACGGGTGATATTGACTCAGCTGGAAAGAAAACAAATATTCACAATTTATTACATTATTCCAATGTATCAGTGAGAGGCATTGCCTTCAGTTTTTCTTTTTGAGATAGGCTCTCACTCTGCTGCCCTGGCTAGAGTGCAGTAGCATTATCATAGCTCACTACTTCAAAGTCCTCAATTTAAGATGAGGAAACCAAGGCCAAGTAACTTCCTTAAGGTTACAAAGCTGATGAAAATTATACCTAGTATCTGAACCTGGGCAGCATGGGCTCAGGGCCAGGGATCCTCAAACTTTTTAAACAGGAGGCCAGTTCACTGTCGCTCAGACCATTGGAGGGCTGGACTGCGGGCCCTGGGACGAGTCGGCTGCTAAGCAGGACCAGCAGCAGCGGCAAAAACACCTGGCGGGGCTTGGCGCCTATAGCTCAACTGGCTAAGGCACCAGCCACGTACACCTAAGGTGGAGAGTTTGAATCCCCAGCCCGGACCCGCCAAACAACAATGATGGCTGCAACCAAAAAACAGCCGGGCGTTGTGGCGGGCACCTGTGGTCCCAGCTACTTGGGAGGCGGAGGCAGGAGACTCGCTTGAGCCCAGGAGTTGGAGGTTGCTGTGAGCTGTAATGCCACGGCACTCTACCCAGGGGGACAGCTTGAGGCTCTGTCTCAAAATAAAAAAAAATAAAATAAAATAAAAAAAAAACACCTGGCGGGCTGGATAAATGTCCTAGGCAGGCCACATTTGGCTTGTGGGCCATAGTTTGAGGATGCCTGGCCTACACACTTAACCACCACACCCTGGTGGTCACATGAAATAGTATTTAATCCCAATCCTGTGCGCTTCTTGAAGACCAGTAGGAACTAGCACTGCTGAACTTATTCATATAAGAAGGATCCTTCTTCTTTTTTAAGAAGTGAAGATACTCAAATGAATGTATGGAGGCATCCTCATCACTGGCCATGACCTTGAGGAGAGTGGACCACTGACTTTGGAAGGCCATTTGTTGAAAATTATCTTGCTTGATTTTAATAGCCGTTAAGGATAGGTGTATATGTTGAAAGGAAAACCTTACCTCTGTTGTTCTCAAACTTTCTGTTACTTGTGGGAGTGACAAATATGGGAACTTGCTTGGCCTCACACCTGTTGAATGTTTGGTATTTTACCTTTTCATTAGCATTGGTTTTATGTCTGCCATCTTTGAGAGGACTCTGTCCCGTCAGATCTATGTTTTTATTGTGTATAAAAATAAAGCAACTGTTTCTGAGCATTAATTAATTTGATGGTTTTTGGCAAATTGGCTTGATCTTTTCCTTTATGATAAAATGAAGTGTTACGTGTTTAAAAAAAGAAGGACATGTTTATGGGAAAAAATGATATTAGGAGAAACTAATCTTGGGGCAGTAGGAAAGGCCAAGAGCCAAGACACAGCCCTGCCCGGTCCCTGGGGATCTCGCTGCACAGGAAGTGGAGGAGCAGACACACACACACACAGGGATGTTCACAGTTACCCTGGGCACGTGGATCTGTGTCCTTTGTGACTTGGGGAGCAAATATTATATTTGGTGGACAAAAATAAATTTTGTGGTGAAAGTTCTACTCTCAGAGGTTTTTTTTTTTTTAGCCATGTGCAGATATTTAAAAATATGTACTTTTTGAGTATCATCTGTGGCTAAAGAGAAATTGTATCCTTTAGACACAGTCTCTACATTAAATATAACTTTTAAAAAGCCTGAGCATGGGAGGTGCCTGTGGCTCAGTGAGTAGGGCGCCGGCCCCATATACTGAGAGTGGTGGGTTCAAACCCAGCCCCGGCCAAACTGCAATAGAAAATAGCTGGGCATTGTGGCGGGTGCCTGTAGTCCCAGCTACTTGGGAGGCTGAGGCAGAAGAATCGCCGAAGCCCA